TTGAGAGAATGGACGGGATGCCAGAGGAGCAACCGAAGACGGAACAGCAGAGCCTAGTCCACAAAGTGGAAGCAGCACTGCCACCAGGACAAAGCAGTTGAGATAGGAGTACGGAGCTAGGGGACTACACAACTCTCCTAGTTCAGGCCAAAGTGAAAAGCCCAGCAGTGAGGGGATGCACAGGGCAGCAGAACTTGAGAATGATCTTCACTTCCACAAAAAACGTCTTGTGGTGGGGGAAGCCTCTTTAGCGTGCTGCTCTGGGCTCTAACTGCCCTCACGTGGCCTCCACAATCCCCTGCCATTCTGTCATTCTTGTCGTCCAGTCCATCCTGGGCCATTCATCCAGCTATCGGTGGTCAAGCATCTCCACCCCCCTCCCTGTGCATGCACACAGCCCCACGCCTCAGCAACATCTGCTGACTGGACTGAGCTACCAACAAGAGCATGGACCAACCCAGGGGGCTCCTTGTGATGGCAACATCCAACCCACAGGAAACCAGCTGCAGGACAGAACTGGCAGGGTCTATGCAAGTCACAACACAGAAAGTGCCGCTCTCTGGGCCAAAGGACACCACTGCCTCCATGTTTTCCAGCACCAACTCCCCTCCACCCTCTCAGCTTGCTTCAGAGGGAAGACACAGCAATGTTGCGGGAAACTTCCCTAACAGTATTTGAAGACCCATGTGGAGCCCAAGGGAACTAATTCTGTGGAACTACTTGGGGACAAAATCTTGTGAGCAATGAGGCCCTGCTGTCATGGCTGTGGGCTGCCAATGGGGCCAGGGACAAAGGACCTGCAAGAGACAATGTTAAAAGCTGCTATTCCTCTCACCCTGGCTGGGACACTGCTCCCTGACAAGGTTGTGTGGTTCTGCAGATATGTATCAAGGGAGCCCCCAGCCAAGGTCACGGGATTTTGCAGGTGCAGGCCTCTGACAATGAGGATCCATCTCCACCCACAATGGGCTGTCACACACTATGGGATGCAAAACTGGGAGGCCTGCCCTGGTGAGGCAGCCTGCTGAGATGTGGAAGAACAGAGGGGACAGAGGTATTCAGGATCGGGCACCCAAAGGGAGAGGCAGCAAGCAAAGGTGTGCCTGCCTCAGTCTGCTCCCCCGAGGCCTTCCATTTTGGATCGTGAGGCTCCATCATGAGGGTGTGGACCCTGTGCCTTTTTCCCCTTCCACCGCAACGTAAGCTTATTAGGATCGGCCCTAGTCCTAAAGCTAGTCTTTAAAAATAATGTGTTGCTGATCTCTCCACAGAAGATCTCAACTGGAAACAGGCCAGAATTAGCATTTCTTTGGGACTCCTTTAAACAATGATCCATGGTTTGCTTTAATAAGGTCTAGAGGGCGTTCACTCACACGATCTTGTGTTATGGGGCTTCCCATGTCCATTTGACCCCAAAAGCTGCTGTATGCCACAACATCAGGTTTTTTAGTACTATCAGGCCCTCATTCAGAACAATTAGTTGGACCATCTTAAAATACAGACCATGAGAACCATGGATGGGAGGGAATACATTTACTTTAGGTATAAAGATTTACTATTATTAACAAGTTATCACTATTATTTACATGTTTATAAAATGGAAATAAAAATGACGTACATGTTTGGTGCCAAAAGTGGCACATCCAAACTATTATCAGTACAAAAATAAATTTTCAAGCTATGTGTTTTTAAAATAAATGTCACTGAAACAGTAAGAGGAAAAAAATCTGTATCGGTCATGTGTTGAAATGCAAACAAACATTATCACAGCAAAGAAGCCCTGGGGTAACAATAAAACCAGTACCTGCTGGAAAAGCTACTCCCTTGCAAGAACCCAAGCAAACAAACAAAAAACAAATACACAATCATTATGTTCCTGAGCTACAGAAGTTTAGAGCATCTAAACTGTTTTGAATTCCTGCTAAAAAGGCCCCCCATGGAGTCTGAGTTGATGAACTCTCGCTAGTGTCCAGCTGTTGGCACCAGGATGTGGTACTGTACTCAGAGGAAGCCAAGCCTACTTGTAAAATACAGAAATCCTTAGCCAACAAAGGGCAGTGCACAGTCCTCTTTGTCCATTACCAATCCCTTGCAAGCCTCCTGGCCGCAGATAAACAGGGACACGGGCAGAGGAAAAACAGAAGCTACTTGGTTTGGGAGCCCTTGTGTCCACCAGATGTGTCCCTCGGTGATTTTGGCAGAAATCCCCGGTGTTTCCAAGGTCTCACCCCTTTGTAGATACACACTTGTTCATACCCGGCAGCAGCCCTCATTGGTCAACACAGCCGTGGCCCCAGCAGAGAAAGCAAAGCCAGCCTAGCAAAGCCTCTGTCCAGCCCACGTGGTGCTTCAGCCTCCAGTGGCTAACCTTCCCCCCACTGCCCATAAAGCTGGAGGGTTGTGAGCCTGTGCAGTGGTATCCTGGGTGAGTGAGAGTGCTGAGTGAGCCAAAGAGCATGGCCCAGCCAACTCCACTCAGCCCAGGTACAGCACAGCAGGAGGCCTGTCTGTGCACAAATTCCTCCGGATCCCAGCAGGAAATGCAAGTACTAAGGGGGGCGGAAGGAAAGGGGCAGGGAACAGGCTGCAGCCCACTTCCAAGCAGCTGAAGGTTCCACAGGAGACTGTGGTAGGTCCAGGGGCAGCTGCATGGAGGAGAGGACACCAAGAGGTCCCTGCAGCCATAGCTGAGCTCTGCTCACTGGTCCTGGACCTTGGCCCTTTTGGCTTTCAGAGACAAGTGCTGCAAGAGAAGAAAAAACATCATAGTTGGGGCTGATGAGACAAAGAAACCAGACTTCAACATAACTCCCATATGAATGACCAAACCTTCCATCTGGTCCACACCTTCTCCACAAATGCTACACCCCTCAGGAAACAGTCTGGAGGGAAACAGCTCAAGTGACCAGTAAAGGAAACAGGCCTTAAGTGCATGGCTGACCCTGGTTATACAGGGCTCTGCAGAAGCTGCCGATGAAGGGTTTTCTTTTCACAACATGGCTCTCCTTCTGTCCCAACCCATAGGACAGCCCACTACAGCCAAACACCCATGCTCAGGAGACTGTAGTCAGGCTGGAGATGACCTCAAATTTCTAAGAAGTTCCTGACAATGGTCAAGGAAAAGTACCCTTTCCTTAGGGATAAGGGACTCAATCAATTTACCACACATCTCAACATGCCAATTAACTACGCTCAAGGATGAAGATAAAGACAGCCCCTGCCCTCACAGAGGGCTTGAGCTAGCTGGGAAGACAGGAAAAGGACACCTCCTAGTGACTTTTTTTTCCGGAAATGTCACTCTCTACCAACACAAATTAACATATGAAGCATAACACTATAATCATGGGCATCAGATAATAGAATTGAGGGATAAAAATATTCTTTATATTCTAAAGTAAAGATAAAAGTGCTAGAAATCCTAAACTATGCATTTGAGGCACAGTATACCTTGTTGACCAACTGAGGCATACCTGATACCCCATTAATAATCATAAACAAATAACCAAAAGACACTGCAGGCGTGACAGTCTAACACATGGTGAGAGTTCTCACCACCTGACTGCTAAGCACCCCAACCCCACTTCTTAGCACACCACATGACCTCATGACAGCAAGTCCCACTGTCCACAGAGGGAACCGCAGGCCCTGAAAGGATCCAGGTGTGAAAGAAGACACAGCACGCCACCAAGTATACGTGAGAGGTGACAGTGAACAGGACCAGGTCTAAATGAGCTACAGGAATTCAGACTTCCTATCCACTTATGACTAATAAAGGACCAGTACAGGTTCTTGCAAAGGCCAGGTTAAAAGGGTTTTTTCCCAAGATAACAAAGATTCCCCTGAGAATCAGGCGGAAAAACTGAAGAACTAGAAGGCAAATCTCTGAACAGGTCTCCCTGTCCAGCTGTGTGTGGGTCTCACTGAATTTCTCTGAATTCTCTCCTCCTTGCCCTTTACCTGATGTGTCCTCTACAACTAAAGTCAGAAGACTTAGCTCGGGAATGGGAGATGACGCCACTGTGCCTGTGAAGCCATTTTTGGTGCTCATTTCTGGAAAGAATGTTAAGCATAAACAAAACTGACTTTGAACCATTTCAGGGCTCTTTACGGGGTAAGAGTGACTCTGTGAAAACTAATGATGACAGTAAGTCACCAAGGGTGCCAGGAACAGAGCTGCGGGTGATCTGTGGCTGTGGATGGGTACGGAGTGCTGCACTGTGTTCAACAAAGGAATATCTACCATACATGGGCAGCCACTGGAGATCTGGAGAATTCTTGGAGTCAATCTGTTTTGGACAAGTTAATGGTACAAGAATACTTCAAAACATTCATAAAAAGATTTGTATTATCTTTCAATTCTATTTTTCCATGAACTTTTTGAAGTACCCTGCAGAAGTGCCTTTGGATTATTTAGTTTAAGAAGCGGTCAAGTTTCTCTGGGGGTTTTGGAACCCTCGTTGTACAATGAGGTTGTTACACTAAGTTATTTCTAAAGGTCCCAGCCTCTCTAAAAATACTCCGATCACAGTGGAGGTGACGGGCTGACAGTCACTTGGAGAGATGAGACAAATGCAGAAGTTCAGGCTTGTCATCTTCTTCAAATTTCTGAGCTATCTGCCCTTTAACATTGTGGGTCTGACCTAAAGAAACTAGTTTTTGAGCTGAGAAGGGAAAATGACTCAGCTTCTAGCCTAATTCTGTTCTCCAAGAATCTATCTGAATCCAGGTGATGTCAGGCGCACCCTTCCTAACTGCTTGCATCCTACCACTTTAACAAGCCCTTGTACAGCTGCACTGTTCTTCTCGCAACTTCTAGTTTGCATTTCTAACACTTCTCCTGGACTCCTGAAGTCTGCTGCTTTCCACCTGAGAGTTTTTTTTTTTTTTTTTTTTTTTAAAGATGACCGGTAAGCGGATCCTAACCCCTGACTTGGTGTTGTCAGCACCACGCTCTCCCAAGTGAGTTAACCAGCCATCCCTATATAGGGATCCGAATCCGTGGCCTTGGCGCCATCAGCACCACACTCTCCCAAGTGAACCATGGGCCGGCCCTTCCACCTAAGAGGTTTTGAAGGAAAAGATTTTCTTTCACTACAGGTTTATTCTTATCAACCCAATACAGCACAGACAACACACTCTGCATTTTTTTTTTTTGGCAGGTGACTGGTACGAGAATGGAACCCTGGACCTTGGTATCATCAGCATCATGCTCTAACCCACTGAGCTAACCAGCCAGCCCCACACCCAGCATTTTTATCAGTCCCTGCAGTTGATCTGGTTTCTGATATCTGTATCAGTATGTGCAAAGAACTACAAAGATTTTAAATATTTTTTGTTTGACTGGATAAGAATTAAATATCATAAGAAGATTTTAAAAGGGCAATTTCCCTTGACAGTGCCAGAGTCAGAGGGATGAGAAGACCCTTCCACTTACAGGGTCACAAGCTCAAATCTCTCCACGAGTTGGGGAAGTGAATGAACACAGGAAGCAGGACTGTTCAATCCTACCGTTCCTTGCTGATAAAAGTGTGGAGCCAGCTCCAATAGCCAAGCAGATTCAATGGCCGTCACGTCTCTCATGTAATACTTGGAGGTTTGTATAACTTCATTGTAGATAACCCTGAAACAAGAAGGGAGCATGAGCTAACTTCCCATATCTTATGATGACAGTCAGGAAGCACGATTAGCGCTGATGACTTTTTTCCCTTTACCTTTACCAGGCATCTGTTCCACATGCCAGGCACTGCACTAAACACACACATTCTGTTGCTCACTCAAGCCTCATGACCTGAGTGGTGGGTAATGGTGTGCCCATTTCACAGATGAGACTCTTAAGTTTTACATGACAGTGCAGAATTTAGATCTAGTCAGTGGATGAAAATGAATGCCTGTTGAGGGTTTGAGTGAGTAGACAAATACCACCATTTGCATAAGGAGATCTTTGATAGAGCAGAAATTTTACAGACGACTTGGCATAACAAAGTCAACTAATGTGTACAGAGCACTTGTTTTCCAGGCCCTGTGCCAGGTACTGGTGACCCAGAGATGAACATGAGCTGGGCTCTGCCTTCAAAGCAGTCACAAGGCTAAGTGGCAGGAAGGGGCTTACCAGCGAGGTGGCTTTTCTGCATAGAGGACTGACGCAGGGTGTATGTGCAGTTCATGATCGTCACGGATAGTCCTTATGAAATAGAAGAATTTTGTCTGAAGCACATTTTAAATGCTTATAGCAAGACTTTCCCACAGATGTTTTTAATATCACCAAAAAGTGCATGCAGATTGAACTTCACAGGAACAATTCTCTCCATCTTCTTGTGCCCTTTTTTGACACCTCCCCTTGCTGCCACCCCAGAAGTCAAGAATAAATCATGCAAAAAAGGGAAGAAAAGAAAAGCAACATGTGGACACTTAGGAAAAAATATTTAGAAATATAATGCTCTGCCTATGTTTATCTTCTGCAGGTTCTCTTTCAAAACAATTTCCTTTGGGACAGAAATAATATGACGGGATTTCAAAAAGTTTCTAGATAAAAAGAATTAAAAGATAATACAGGGCTCTCTGGTTAGCTCAGTTGGATACAGCATGGTGTTATAACACCAAGGTCAAGGGTTCAGATCCCCATACTGGTCAGCCACCAAAAAAAACGACTGTAGGGAGAGGTAATAATAGTGGAAAAAAGACACTCAATATTAGACAATTAATTTCTCTGAAATAGTATTTCCAATTCCAAACCAGATTTGATTGTTTAATTCAAAAAATATTTACTGAACACACAACTATCAGTAAGATCAGATCATAAGAGAAAACACTAAGAGACTAGATGTTGCTGCCCACACCACAGTTAAGGAGTGTTTCTGTGGGCATCAGGGATCTGGTTGTCGGGGGAAGTGCTCCAAGCGCCGTGACCAAGCTCATCCCAAGCACTGTAATAAAGCCAGCATCCTGGGGTCCTGGCTTTCTTACCAGGTGGTGGTGAGCTGATTGACACTGAACTTTGTCTCCAAGGAATGACTGGCCCTGGAACCTCTAATGTAGGCCACAGTTTCATTAAGGACACTGATGGAAGAATTTTTAAAATGCCAGTAGAAATTGCTAATTAACACTCCTGAGGAGAGCGGAGGCAATGAAAATGACAAGTGAGCGGTACTCCCTGGGAAAGATGTAAGGCCTCTGGAGAGGGGAGGGTGTCACCTCCAAACTGGAAGAGTTGCCTCAAACATGGACAACTCAAAGTAGGGAGGGGGAGCTTGTATGATGGGCAAAAGAATCATGATACTGATCGGCGAGAACACTTGGCCTGCAGTAACAAATAGAACCTACTAGAGATAAATGTAAAGTGCTATCCTTAAGTTCTAACAGTCAGCTACTAGGACACTAGATGGAGCAGATGTGGCTGCCAAAATAAAAAATGTTCAGTGCAACTCTGGACTTATTAACAAAAGCCCAGTGTCCACAACAAGGGATATCTTGGCTGACCTCAAGATAACAGACCTGTAATATTTTCTAAGGGGAAAAAAAAAAATAATGGCAAAATAATAGATGGAGGAAATCCAAAGAAGACCTGGGGAGAAAGCCTTTTGATCGTTCCTTTATTAAAGAATAGAAAACGATGACAGCTATGCATTAAACAGAACACAATGAAGTTAAGAAACTAAAGCAAGCCAAGGAACAGAAGACAGACTAAAAGTAATAATTCAAAGAACTGGAATGATGTAATTTAGAGAAAAGAAGGCTAAGCTATACTTTAGTTTTTACTGTATTTGAATATACTAACAGCTACTAGGAAGGCATCAATCTTCGGTGATTTTCTATGCCTAGAAAATGGAACTGGAGGGCCGGCCTGTGGCTTACTCAGGAGAGTGCGGTGCTGATAACACCAAGGCCACGGGT